AGTTTCGGCTTGATATTGGTCGCTTTTTCTCCTAAGGGTATCAGATTTGTACCTTATATGATTTCGGAAAAAAATGTCGTGGGTAGTAAGCTTCTTTCAACCAAATTAAATTTAAAATCAACATCTTACGGTTTCTCTTGAAAATCCTACAGAAATTGTACAAATACGTGTGCAATTTATTGAATGTGAAATTTTTCAAAAAGCTCGTAAAATGGTGGCTCCTGTAAACACCCGTTTTTTAAATTTGTCGAAGCGAGTGTCTTCTAATCGCGAGTTCTTTTTTCGCGTAACATTTTTACAAATGGGCCTCGGAGTGGTTAATTTTTTCTTAACCGGTTAACCGATCTCAAATTAACCGGTTAATTCTGAAGAAAACGTTTTTGGCAAAAATGATTGAATTTTATACAGAATAGTCATGAAATTACATAAAAATTCACATTATACGATTAACTAACCTTGCTCGCATAATACAGAAGCGCCCCGTTGCCTCCAGACAGGGTGAAGGACTTCCGACATATCTGACACAGCCGATTTGTCGTTGACTTTAATGAAATATTTCCACACCCAACGACATTTTTATCGCGTTCAGAAAAATGCTTGAAAACGCGTTCAGAAAAATGATTGAAGAATTTGAGTTGCATTGGAAAAAACTTTTGGAAGTGTAATTAAGCCGTTAAACTGAAGAAAACTCTGGGAAGCCAAAGAAAGTGTCTTGAAATGGGGCACTAGACGTTTTCCGGTAACCCATTTTCTTTTAAAATGAATACGCTATAGAACTGGTATGAATACATGTGCTATTAAAATACAGAAAGGGTATAAATACATGTGTATTTGTTAAGGAAATAGTTTTTCAGATAATTTCCGTTTTTGTTCGACTTTTGGGCATTCATAAGCAATCTGGTAAAAACAGTGTCATAAAAGTATTCGTTTTTTATTACTTGCGAAAGCAAATGTCCTCTTATCGAGAACTATTTTTTTTTCGCGTAACAGGTTTTCTTACAAATCAGTATCAAATTGAGCTTGCTTTTTGAAACATTTCAACTTTCGGTGTACTTCCTTATTGTTCTAATGGTAAAACTGCTAGATCGAGTTCCAGCCAGAAATTTGTGTTTTAATATGCATAAAAATTGATTTGACAAACTTTCGTTTGGCTGCTCATGTTTTGTCACCTTAGCTGCCACATGTGTATTTTTTCTAGTCCAAGCAATTTTCATTGCATTTGGAAGTTTGTTTAATTTTTCCTACAAATTGTACATTCACTAACACTAAAAAAAATTCAACCTTCTTATGGTGCCAGGCCGCTTAAATTTTGAGTTTAATCCCTCTGTGGTCACTTTGTGTTCCCTTCACATCCTCTTTATTTAAATCCAACTATTTTAGAAGCCAAGAAAAAGTTTATAATTTTTTCTAAGAATAACTTGAGTTTTGATTTTTTTTTTCACTTTTGACAACTGTCTGTTTGATAATTGGCAACTGTCTGTTGAATACTCTCATATGGAAATAGTTATGAAGGTTAACTTAGTGCTGATTTAAATTATCCGGACAAAACAAACAAAATTTGACATTTTAAACACTTTTTTCCCAAAGTTGTTTAAAATTAGACAAAAAATGAGGATAACAAAAATTGCGTAGATTTTCACCAGAATTAATATGGTGCAATTTTTTCACCCAAATTTTATCCCAAAATGGGTCATTTTGGCTTTTTTTAAATAATCAAGAATTACGCTAAAACTACTTTGTTAATAGATGAAAATTATATCACCAGAAGCCTCTAACACATCCCAACAAAGTTCTAGAAGGATTGAATCTCGAAAATCTTGCTCAAATTGTTTAAAATTTGTTTTTAAGCTAAGGTTCTGTAAAAGAGAAAATATTTTTGCTTGTTTGTCATGAAATGTGATTTTTACTATATAAACCCATAACCTTAGCTTAAAAACAAATTTTAATTAATTTGCGCAAAATTTTGGGGATACAACCCGTCTAGAACTTTGTTGGAATATGTAAGAGGCTTCTTGTGATATAATTGTCTCATCTATTATTTAGGTAGTTTTTGCGTAATTCTTGAGTTTTTAGAAAAAAAAAGCGGAAAAGATCCGTTTTTGGGGTAAAATTTTGATTGAGAATTTTGGTGAAAAAATTGCTCCATATTATATCTGGTGAAATTTTAAGCAAATTTTATTCTCTTCACTTTTTGTTTAAGCTTAACCAAATTTGGCAAAAACGGGTTTGAAGGTTCAAATATTGTTCGTTTTGTTTGGTTAATTTAAATCAGCACTGTAATAATTTCCTTCGACTGTACATTTTGCGTAAAGAAGTTTCTTTGATCTTTTTGATTCCAAAATAAAAATTTTCAAAGAAAAACTCAACTATTGTACTATTTCCAATTCATGTTTTTATGGGCCTCGGAGTGGTTAATTTTTTCTTAACCGGTTAACCGATCTCAAATTAACCGGTTAATTCTGAAGAAAACGTTTTTGGCAAAAATGATTGAATTTTATACAGAATAGCCATGAAATTACATAAAAATTCACATTATACGATTAACTAACCTTGCTCGCATAATACAGAAGCGCCCCGTTGCCTCCAGACAGGGTGAAGGACTTCCGACATATCTGACACAGCCGATTTGTCGTTGACTTTAATGAAATATTTCCACACCCAACGATATTTTTATCGCGTTCAGAAAAATGCTTGAAAACGCGTTCAGAAACACTGTAATAATTTCCTTCGACTGCACATTTTGCGTAAAGAAGTTTCTTTGATCTTTTTGACTCCAAAATAAAAATTTGCAAAGAAAAACTCAACTATTGTACTATTTCCAATTCATTTCCAATTCAACTATTGTACTATTTCCAATTCAAAACTACCCAAATCTTAACCGGTTAACCGATCTCAAATTAGCCGGTTAATTCTGAAGAAAACGTTTTTGGCAAAAATGATTGAATTTTATACAGAATAGCCATGAAATTACATAAAATTCACATTATACGATTAACTAACCTTGCTCGCATAATACAGAAGCCCCCCGTTGCCTCCAGACAGGGTGAAGGACTTCCGACGTATCTGACACAGCCGATTTGTCGTTGACTTTAATGAAATATTTCCACACCCAACGACATTTTTATCGCGTTCAGAAAAATGCTTGAAAACGCGTTCAGAAAAATGATTGAAGAATTTGAGTTGCATTGGAAAAAACTTATGGAAGTGTAATTAAGCCGTTAAACTGAAGAAAACTTTGGGAAGCCAAAGAAAGTGTCTTGAAATGGGGCACTAGACGTTTTCCGGTAACCCATTTACTTTTAAAATGAATACGCTATAGAACTGGTATGAATACATGTGCTATTAAAATACAGAAAGGGTATAAATACATGTGTTATTTGTTAAGGAAATAGTTTTTCAGATAATTTCCGTTTTTGTTCGACTTTTGGGCATTCATAAGCAATCTGGTAAAAACAGTGTCATAAAAATATTCGTTTTTTAATACTTGCGAAAGCAAATGTCCTCTTATCGAGAACTTTTTTTTGGCGTAACAGGTTTTCTTACAAATCAGGATCAAATTGAGCTTGCTTTTTGAAACATTTTAACTTTCAGTGGACTTCCTTATTGTTCTAATGGTAAAACGGCTAGATCGAGATCCAGCCGGAATTTTGTGTTTTAATATGCATGAAAATTGATTTGTCAAACTTTCGTTTGGCTGCTCATGTTTTGTCACCTTAGCTGCCACATGTGTATTTTTTCTAGTCCAAGCAATTTTCATTGCATTTGGAAGTTTGTTTAATTTTTCCTACAAATTGTACATTCACTAACACTAAAAAAAATTCAAGCTTTTTATGGTGCCAGGCCGCTTAAATTTTGAAGTTTAATCCCTCTGTGGTCACTTTGTGTTCCCTTCACATCCTCTTTATTTAAACACAACTATTTTAGAAGCCAAGAAAAAGTTCATAATTTTTTCTAAGAATAACTTGAGTTTTGATTTTTTTTCACTTTTGACAACTATCTGTTTGATAATTGGCAACTGTCTGTTGAATACTCTGATATGGAAATAGTTATGAAAGTTAACTTAGTGCTGATTTAAATTATCCGGACAAAACAAACAAAATTAGACAAAAAGTGAGGAAGTGCTGATTTAAATTATCCGGACAAAACAAACAAAATTAGACAAAATTAGACAAAAAGTGAGGAGAACAAAAATTGCGTAGATTTTCACCAGAATTAATATGGTGCAATTTTTTCACCAAAATTTTAATCAAAATTTTATCCCAAAATGGGTCATTTTGGCTTTTTTTAAATAATCAAGAATTACGCTAAACTACTTTGTTAATAGATGAAAATTATATCACCAGAAGCCTCTAACACATCTCAACAAAGTTCTAGATGGATTGAATCTCGAAAAGCTTGCTCAAATTGTTCAAAAGTTGTTTTTAAGCTAAGGTTCTGTAAAAGAGAAAATATTTTTGCTTGTTTGTCATGAAATGTGATTTTTTCTATATAAACCCATAAACTTAGCATAAAAACAAATTTTATTTAATTTGCGCAAACTTTTGGAGATACAACCCGTCTAAAACTTTGTTGGGATGTGTAAGAGGCTTCTTGTGATATAATTGTCTCATCTATTATTTAGGTAGTTTTTGCGTAATTCTTGAGTTTTTAGAAAAAAAAGCGGAAAAGATCGGTTTTTGGGGTAAAATTTTGGTTGAGAACTTTGATGAAAAAATTGCTCCATATTAGTTCTGGTGAAATTTTAAGCAAATTTTGTTGTCTTCACTTTTTGTTTAATCTTAACCAAATTTGGCAAAAACGGGTTTGAAGGTTCAAATATTGTTCGTTTTGTCCGGTTAATTTAAATCAGCACTGTAATAATTTCCTTCGACTGTACATTTTGCGTAAAGAAATTTCTTTGATCTTTTTGACTCCAAAATAAAAGTTTTCAAAGAAAAACTCAACTATTGTACTATTTCCAATTCATGTTTTTCTGAGACGTGGTGGCAAATGCGAATAATTGCTGTCCTCCGTTGGTGAGACTAATCTAGTCTTCATATCGCTCGTCTTCAAACTCACGTGGCATCATTTTCAGCACTTTTCCCGTTATGTTAAAAAACGGCATCTGATAATAGCCTCGCGGTTTATAATGGGGAATAGAACGGGTTCTCTGCAGTGGAATCGAACTAGACGGTTTGTGAATCGAATGCGATACCGATGCTGCCACGCCACCAGCAGCGGTTCGATTCTCAGCCTCGTCCAACCCCCCGCTGTTCTTGTTCGCGTCTGATTGGCTGTTGTTGCTGTTACTCACAGCTGCTATTTCGTCTTGTCGGAAGTATATTTGTCCGTTTATGATTGTGGCGCCTCCGTTTTTGTTTCGTCTCAGTCGGTCGTAGAATGCACTCATGTCATTGGCCAGTAGATTATACATTTCGATGTCTTTCCGGTGCAACTTGACTGTTCTGCAGTTGTGCTCTTCTCTGTAGTGTTTGATATAGTTTGAGTTGTCTCGCAAGTGTGCAAACTTGTAAGGCTTGGGAGTTTCGCGTCTGTTTTTCATCAGAAAAGCAGTGCCTGTCAAAAAGAAAAAGACAAATTAATTTTTCATCTCTAATTTATTACCGCAGCCATCATTCTGCTCGGAAAAAAAAGAACCAACGTCTGAGTTCTTCAATTTTCACCAAAGTATATGCTATAAACTCCTTTGAGATCTAAGCAATTTCTTTAGCTTGTTTTTCTAGGCTCCGGGGGTCGTCGCTTATTCACTTTCAAAGAGCCCCCCCCACCCCACGGATTTGTTCAAAGAGAAGATCTCACATAATCATCCAATCAAAGCCTCAGGTAGTTACCCATTATAGCCTCGCCACATTCATACTTTCAAAATGTATTTTCCCTCTATTTGCACAAAAGCCCAAACAAAAGTCCAAAAACGAATTTCGTAATATATATATTTTTATAAATACTCCAAAATTTAATAACCGTGGCTTTCTCCCGAATTTGTCGCTGACATGGGTTGTGCGTGACCGAACTGCACGTGACTGGCGGCACTTTCGCTCACGTGCTGGTTGAGAAGCTGCTGTTTTCTCAGAAAAAATGCGGCGGGTGGGAGCCACTGGCAGAATCCCTCCTCGAACTTGAGACTCTGCATCAGCGACGACAACAGACGCAGCCGAGCACTTCTAACAACCACCATCCAGTGATTTCCTACTACCCGCGGTCAATTGACATCCCGTTTACGTCAGAAAGACTAGTCAAAACTAAACCACCCAAACTCAAAGCTCCTCAGAGCTTCAATATTAGTACTTTATAGTGTAAACTCCCGAAAAAACTTGGCCTAATTTTTGTTCAAAAGCATTCACTTCTCACTCACGAAATTTCACCAAAATTATGCGAAATGATGAGTTTTTCATTTTTCTTCGATATTCTGATATTTTTGTTTGATACAAAACTTCTCGTCAGATCAGAGTTGTCAATGCGATTTCATTCTGTGAATTTTTTAGTTGTATAAAGGAAATGGTTAGAAGTGGTGCCCGTAGATACTAGTCTCTAAATTTATGTCATTTTGAGTAAATATTTATTCAGGATACTAGTAGTCAAAGTTCACATAATAACCGTAACTTATTCACATCATCAACAGTGAACAAAGTCATGTACATGAACAATGCTTACTTAATTTAGCCCCAAGGTCAGGATTCTTTTAAAGAGTAATACATCCGCCTATTTTTGGCGAGTTGTGATATTATATTGGAAAATCTCAGTTGATAGGTATTTTGACGAAATGACAAAACTATGACCATATTTATGTAGAAAGGTTATAAGTGCATTTGATACAAATGATTATCAATGTGTATTACGTGTACTGACTGAGAGTTAAGTTAATAGTTGTGATATGTGAACAGAATTTACGTGACAAAATTAAAATTTGACCAATGTTCAAATATTCTGTTACCTAGATGTTCATGCGTTCACTGTTGATTTTGCATTTCTTCAACATTAATATGCAGATTGTTTTTCATGTCTTTTTGATGTTCTACCGTGGCGATGATAAATTGGATGAAGTTTATACGATGTATCCCGGATTAACTGCGCCATCATGATTTTATTAGGCACTGCATTGCATATCTCATCACTATATCTATATACTCCTCGGAAAAGCCTCGAGGTTTAGCAAAATACTCTCCTCCTTGACAATACTTATTGATAAATTAGCAGTTAGTGGATAGATGTTTCTAGACTAGATATACTTTAACTATAGAATATAATACACTACTCTAATTACATTTCCAAATACTAAGCTTTGTGCAATAAGAAATAAATGCGTTTCATTTGTTCACTGTTCTATTTTACTCGAAACTGCAGATAAAAATAACTCTTCTTTGATTAGTTTTTCTGCTACGTCAAGTAATGTCATGTAGTTTGGAACATAGAAAAGATATTTGAAATGAAATTACTGCGAGTTACGGTACGAATCAGGTTTTAGAGGGCAGTTATTAAAGTTCAATGAACGTGGTGAAGACACTTGTACATCTCATTTTCAAATTTTTTTTCGTTTTCCCGTTACCCGTTGATCCAGTTCATACGCTTGCGATTAGTTTTTTTTTTGCGCAGATAACTAAGTCTAACAGTAATTGTATTTCAAATTTGTGTTTTCCTCAATCAATACATGTTTTGAACATAGCTGCATTTTAAATACCCGTTCTAAACGAAAATTTTCAAATGCTGATTTTAATTATACCAAATCAGGTTTAGTATAAATCTGTTTTTTTTTTTTCATTTTCGGACCACTTGCAGAGTGGGAAAAAACTATGGCATAAGGTCCTTCTTAAAAAAAAATTCCAGCTTATGCTGACTAAGTCAATAAAATATGGTAGGCGGTCAAATGTGGTATTATATTAAAGAACTATTAGCCATGATTGGGATAATTAAGAACAAGAATTAATTGTCGAGAAAAACTGGTCTGAATAATTTTGAGTTTCAGATTAACTTGCACGAATTCGATGTGAGGATGACCACTACTATTTTAACAATATTTCAATACTTAAACTTGAACGTCACTTAAGCGTTGTTTTTGTGCAATTTACACAGCGAACGGTTATTGTTGTTGTTCCGACCATCGAAATTGTGGAGCACCTTTGTATTCGGGTGTGTTTTAGTTTTTTCTCGCAAGATCAGGTAAAAGCAATTTCCAGAATGGGTTGTGATATATATATTAAAGCCCTTTCAGTCGTGATTTGAACGACCTTTTTTTAAAAACTATTGTAGACATTAGATGCAAAGTTTTTCTGTATTTTTTAACAGACAAAAAATAATGAGGCTACACATAGAAAATTAACTGAAAAATTCGAATTGGCCTTAAAAGAAAACTTCCAGAGTGGTAATCGAATCATTAACTTGAAAGAAACTTTGGGCACTTCATGTACTTGCAAAAGAAAGTGTCTTGGAATGGGTATTAAATGTTTTTCATAGACAAATTATCCAATTTTTGCAGTTTTAAAACCACCTGTTTGAAGCTCTACTTCCTGGGGTTGAGTACTGGCTGGACCTTGTTTTTTCATTAAGCAAGTGTTAAAACTTTTCTGCTCATTGGACTTAAGTATCAGTGATTGTCAAATTAATAACTATTCTGTTTTTTCTTTTGCAAAGATACGATTTTAACTCCAGCTGAAAATGTATTTTACCTTGTAATCATTGCATGTATAACGATCGGGTTTAGGAACTGAACCTTTTAATGAAGATTTTTTGAACTTTGATGTTTTTCAAAAAACAATTTTTAGATTAGTTTCGGACTGATAAATTTTGTTAGGCGAACATATGAACGCATACAGTAAATTCGTAAGGCATTCTAATCAAAACATTGTAATAATTTTATCGTTTTTAAACAAACTTTAAATTGAACTTGTTTTTTAGTTTCGGCTTGATATTGGTCGCTTTTTCTCCTAAGGGTATCAGATTTGTACCTTATATGATTTCGGAAAAAAATGTCGTGGGTAGTAAGCTTCTTTCAACCAAATTAAATTTAAAATCAACATCTTACGGTTTCTCTTGAAAATCCTACAGAAATTGTACAAATACGTGTGCAATTTATTGAATGTGAAATTTTTCAAAAAGCTCGTAAAATGGTGGCTCCTGTAAACACCCGTTTTTTAAATTTGTCGAAGCGAGTGTCTTCTAATCGCGAGCTCTTTTTTCGCGTAACATTTTTACAAATGGGCCTCGGAGTGGTTAATTTTTTCTTAACCGGTTAACCGATCTCAAATTAACCGGTTAATTCTGAAGAAAACGTTTTTGGCAAAAATGATTGAATTTTATACAGAATAGTCATGAAATTACATAAAAATTCACATTATACGATTAACTAACCTTGCTCGCATAATACAGAAGCGCCCCGTTGCCTCCAGACAGGGTGAAGGACTTCCGACATATCTGACACAGCCGATTTGTCGTTGACTTTAATGAAATATTTCCACACCCAACGACATTTTTATCGCGTTCAGAAAAATGCTTGAAAACGCGTTCAGAAAAATGATTGAAGAATTTGAGTTGCATTGGAAAAAACTTTTGGAAGTGTAATTAAGCCGTTAAACTGAAGAAAACTCTGGGAAGCCAAAGAAAGTGTCTTGAAATGGGGCACTAGACGTTTTCCGGTAACCCATTTTCTTTTAAAATGAATACGCTATAGAACTGGTATGAATACATGTGCTATTAAAATACAGAAAGGGTATAAATACATGTGTATTTGTTAAGGAAATAGTTTTTCAGATAATTTCCGTTTTTGTTCGACTTTTGGGCATTCATAAGCAATCTGGTAAAAACAGTGTCATAAAAGTATTCGTTTTTTATTACTTGCGAAAGCAAATGTCCTCTTATCGAGAACTATTTTTTTTTCGCGTAACAGGTTTTCTTACAAATCAGTATCAAATTGAGCTTGCTTTTTGAAACATTTCAACTTTCGGTGTACTTCCTTATTGTTCTAATGGTAAAACTGCTAGATCGAGTTCCAGCCAGAAATTTGTGTTTTAATATGCATAAAAATTGATTTGACAAACTTTCGTTTGGCTGCTCATGTTTTGTCACCTTAGCTGCCACATGTGTATTTTTTCTAGTCCAAGCAATTTTCATTGCATTTGGAAGTTTGTTTAATTTTTCCTACAAATTGTACATTCACTAACACTAAAAAAAATTCAACCTTCTTATGGTGCCAGGCCGCTTAAATTTTGAGTTTAATCCCTCTGTGGTCACTTTGTGTTCCCTTCACATCCTCTTTATTTAAATCCAACTATTTTAGAAGCCAAGAAAAAGTTCATAATTTTTTCTAAGAATAACTTGAGTTTTGATTTTTTTTTTCACTTTTGACAACTGTCTGTTTGATAATTGGCAACTGTCTGTTGAATACTCTCATATGGAAATAGTTATGAAGGTTAACTTAGTGCTGATTTAAATTATCCGGACAAAACAACCAAAATTTGACATTTTAAACACTTTTTTCCCAAAGTTGTTTAAAATTAGACAAAAAATGAGGATAACAAAAATTGCGTAGATTTTCACCAGAATTAATATGGTGCAATTTTTTCACCCAAATTTTATCCCAAAATGGGTCATTTTGGCTTTTTTTAAATAATCAAGAATTACGCTAAAACTACTTTGTTAATAGATGAAAATTATATCACCAGAAGCCTCTAACACATCCCAACAAAGTTCTAGAAGGATTGAATCTCGAAAATCTTGCTCAAATTGTTTAAAATTTGTTTTTAAGCTAAGGTTCTGTAAAAGAGAAAATATTTTTGCTTGTTTGTCATGAAATGTGATTTTTACTATATAAACCCATAACCTTAGCTTAAAAACAAATTTTAATTAATTTGCGCAAAATTTTGGGGATACAACCCGTCTAGAACTTTGTTGGAATATGTAAGAGGCTTCTTGTGATATAATTGTCTCATCTATTATTTAGGTAGTTTTTGCGTAATTCTTGAGTTTTTAGAAAAAAAAAGCGGAAAAGATCCGTTTTTGGGGTAAAATTTTGATTGAGAATTTTGGTGAAAAAATTGCTCCATATTATATCTGGTGAAATTTTAAGCAAATTTTATTCTCTTCACTTTTTGTTTAAGCTTAACCAAATTTGGCAAAAACGGGTTTGAAGGTTCAAATATTGTTCGTTTTGTTTGGTTAATTTAAATCAGCACTGTAATAATTTCC